ATAAATAAACGAACTTAAGGTATTTACATAGATACTCTAGTTTGATTTAAAATGGTTCAAACTTTTAGTTTTGGAGGGTCGGACTGTAGAGGATGGGAATATTGGAGGGTCATAATTTATAGATACTCTAGTTTGATTTAAAATGGTTCAAACTTTTAGTTTTGGAGGGTCGGACAGTAGAGGATGGGAATATTGGAGGGTCATAATTTATTACTTACACGAGTTACTGGAATGTGAGTTAAGTTTTGTTGACGCATAAACTTTAACTTGAACGTTTAATTAATAATGAGAAGGCGGGATAGATAACCTGAGTCGTAGAGTTCGATGGGGTACGGGGACGCCATTTGGATTGACTTTAAACTATTGCAAAATTAAAAGAGAATTATTGAGATTTTTTTTTCTCCCCTATCTTTGAAGGTGATGAAAATTTTGACCAAAGGAAACAAAAACAGGACCCAAGAAGCCACAGGGGCGAATCAAACATCTTCACGCTCACATGCAATGCTTCAAGTGCACGTGAAGCAAAGTGACAGACTGCGAAACACCGTACAAAAGGTTCGGACAGGAACGTTGTATATGGTAGATCTGGCGGGCTCCGAGAGGGCGTCTCATACTCGTGTAAGGACACAGTTTTTAATGTTTGGTTCTATATTTGTTTAGTTTGAAAACCGATTAATTGTTGTTAGTTTGTTGTATGTATTCGTGTTTGTAGATAAATTTAGAGGTTTACAAACTGATGATTTCAGACAAGGCATTCAGGTTCATTTTCACTATATCTATTATATGTGAGGCTAGACGATTGTTGCTTATTATGCAAAAAAAGATGACGCCACCAGTCTGCGTAACGCATAACGATTAGTTTTTCTTCATCTTGTATTGACGTGTTGTAGGGTTTGGCCACGACTGTAAATGGGAGTGGCCCTAAAATATGTAGCTTTTCAGATAATTTTTAAAGATGTTATCGACACTGAAGGAAACATTCTAATATGAAATGATATAACGACAGTTTTTATTGGTAATTCTCTAACAAACAATTCCCGTTTCCTCTCATTTGAGTTACAAGTTTCTTTCAGGTCATTTTGTAGTTTACTACTTCAGAATACAACACTGATACTTATAACCTCGTGCAGGTATTTATTAACTACCTTTTAACAAGGTAGTTTGTTAAGGACGTAAAAAATCAGACGTAAAAAAAAGGTGGTTTATTAAGGACCCAGAATCAGACGTAAAAAAAGGGTTTATTAAGGACCCAGAATCAGATGTAAAAAAAGGTGGTTTGTTAAGGACCCAGAATCAGATGTAAAAAAAGTGGTTTGTTAAGGACCCAGAATCAAACGTAAAAAAGGTGGTTTATTAAGGACCCCGAATCAGACGTAAAAAAGGTGGTTTGTTAAGGACCCAGAATCACAAATTAGAGAGGTCGTTTGTTAAGGATACAGAATCAAACGTGAGAAAGGTCGTTTGTTAAAGACTCTAAATTTCAAGTTAGAAATGCTCTTTGTTAAGGACTCAAAATCACAGGTTAAAAACGTGTAAGGACCTGAATAGTCATAATTTATTATCAATATATGAAAAGAGGCTCATATTTCAAACTTTTTAATTATTAAAAAAATATTGTGAAATTCGTTTTATTTAGATGTAAAAAGAAACAACCTAAAACTGGTTTTTCTTGTTTTTGTTGTAAAGAACACCGGGCAACGTTTTAAAGAAGGAGCACATATAAATATGTCTCTCTTGGCTTTAGGAAACTGCATCAATGCTCTGGGTAAGTTAACTTCAGAGGTTTTGATAGGTTTCAAGTATTTTCTAGCGAGTTTAAAAGAAACTGGGCTGGTTTTACACAAAACACAATGCACAGTAGCACCCTGTCTTGTGTTTTTATTGTTAGACACATCACGTTACAGTTGTTCCAAAAATTTCTTTGTGCACTGTTCTCAAACCATCATCCAGAAAAACGTTTTGTCAACTGTTCTCTTGCCACCTTCCAGAATATTTCTTTGTGCACTGTTTTCTAACCATCACCCTGAAAAATTTTTTGTGCACTGTTCTCTAACCATCATCCAGAAAATTTCTTTGTACATTTTTCTCTAACCGCCAACCAGAAAATTTCTTTGTGCACTTTTCTCTAACCATCACCCAGAAAATTTCTTTGTGCATTGTTTACCAGGCAACATCAAAACAATTTCTTTGTGTACTGTCATCTAGCTCTCATATAGAACACTTCTTTGTGAATTGTTCCCTAACGATCATCCAGAAAATTTCTTTGTGCACTTTTCTCTAACCATCACCCAGAAAGTTTCTTTGTGCATTGTTTACTAGGTAACATCAAAACAATTTCTTTGTGTACTGTCATCTAGCTCTCATATAGAACACATCTTTTTGAATTGTTCTCTAACCATCATCCAGAAAATTTCTTTGTTTTATATTCTTCTCTAGCTTTTATCCAGATAATTCCTTTGTGCATTGTTCTCTAACTCTCATTCAGAAAATATCTTTATGCATTGTTATTTTGCCATCATCTAAAAATATTCTGTATACGTTTTAACGTACCCATAACGAAGAAAGGTATTGGAATACATTATTAAATGACCACAGCTCACGAAGCGTTCTTGAACTTAATATCTTCATTACCATCCAGGAAGTATTTTGTATATTGTTATTTCACCATCACCGACATCAGCTCATTGTCTTGCAACTGTCATTCACTGTGGTTATTTATTGTTAATACATCAATAACTAGAAAAAAAAAAGATTGTGCATTGTTCAGTAATATAATCCAGTAAGCTTTTATGTACCTTGCAATGTAACCATCATCTAAAATGGTTTAAAGAAACTAACATATGAACTATAAGGATTTAGTGAAAAAAACAAACAAAAAACGTTTGAAATGCATTTAGGAGGTTTTAGGGATTAAACAAAGAAAATTTGAGATTTTTGAGATGACGAAAAGAATTTTTAATTTTAACATGAAAATTACTTTGCACACGGACTATTCAAAACAAATGCTCAATATATTCATGGACAAATCTTTATTTTGTTTTATTAAAAATACTTCACTAAGAAATATGAGTTTTTGTATGTGAAAGACTTGTAATATTAACTGAAAGACTGCCAAATTTTTGGAAGATATACACAATATAGAGAGTTATAAGTATTAAATTTATATCAACTTTAAACGAGTACAAAAGGTCACGTGGCTCGGTCAAATTGACCGACCCCGTGTTGAGAGAGTTGGACAATATAATGTAACTATTAACGATCACATCTAACATATTTGTATAATACAATGTAACCATCATTCAAAAAAGTTTTTTGTGTACGATATAAAGTAACCATCCGCTAGAAAGGTTTTATTTACATTATAACGTAACCATCATTCAGAAAAGGTTTATTAATATTATAATGTAACCATTCTACAGGTCGGATCTAACCACCTTATCATGCCAATATTATAAACAAATCTTCGCTATACATTTTTAGCATACATAACATTTTTATTTTGTACTGATATCACAAATGATAAGGACAAAACCACAAACAAAAAAACAACCAAATCTTATAGGAAATGAGGGCAATAACACTATTTCAACGTACATGTAACGTTTTTCATAGTCTATCATTTAATCAGCCTATTTTAACTCTTATCTTTCATTCCCGTAAAACTATCGCCATACTGTATAAAAATGAACTAGTTTTACATTGTAGTTGGAATGAGAGATTTATTTTTTATAATTCAGCGGTTCGAGGGGTTAAGTACGTGAATTTCCGGGACAGTAAATTAACTAGACTTCTGAAGGAACCCCTGAGTGGTAACTGTCAGACAGTGATGATAGCTCACATCAGTCCAGCAGCCATCCACTTTGACGAATCACGTAACACTTTGCTTTATGCAGATAGAGCCAAAAATATTACCAACAAGGTGAGCAGTCGGTAAAATGCTTTGTTTATCTTTATTTAATAAATTAAAGGTTTAAATTATCCTGATTCTAGTTGTTTTACTGTTAATCTGAGATGTCTTATCTTTAAGTTAATAAACTAAAGACTTAGATTATCCTGATTCTAGCTGCTTTACTGTTAATCTGAGATGTCTTATCTTTAAGTTAATAAACTAAAGACTTAGATTATCCTGATTCTAGCTGCTTTACTGTTAATCTGAGATGTCTTATCTTTAATCTAATATATTACAGGTTTAAATTATCCTGATTCTAGTTGTTTTACTGTTAATCTGAGATGTCTTATTTTTAAGTTAATAAACTAAAGACTTAGATTATCCTGATTCTTGCTGCTTTACTGTTAATCTGAGATGTCTTATCTTTAATTTAATAAACTAAAGACTTAGATTATCCTGATTCTAGCTGCTTTACTGTTAATCTGAGTTGTCTTATCTTTAATTTAATATATTACAGGTTTAAATTATCCTGATACTAGTTGTTTTACTGTTAATCTGAGATGTCTTATCTTTAAGTTAATAAACTAAAGACTTAGATTATCCTGATTCTAGCTGCTTTACTGTTAATCTGATATGTCTTATCTTTAATTTAATATATTACAGGTTTAAATTATCCTGATTCTAGTTGCTTTAATGTTAATCTGAGATGTCTTATCTTTAATTTAATAAACTAAAGACTTAGATTATCCTGATTCTTGCTGCTTTACTGTTAATCTGAGATGTCTTATCTTTAATTTGATAAATTACAGGTTTAAACTGTCCTGATTCTAGCTGTTTTAACTATTAATTTGAGATGTGCGCTAGAAGAATAGCTATGAAATCCCACAAGATTTGACGGTTGGTGCTGTTGACTAGCTGTTTTCTAGTTGCTTTAATGTTAATCTGAGATGTCTTATCTTTAATTTGATAAATTACAGGTTTAAACTGTCCTGATTCTAGCTGTTTTAACTATTAATTTGAGGTGTGCGCTAGAAGAGTAGCTGTGAAATCCCACAGGATTTGACGGTTGGTGCTGTTGACTAACTGTTTTCACTCTAGTTTATCAGTTCATAATTATGGATGACTATGTGCAAGTAGCCCTTATTTGCAAAACTTTGAAACAAACAAACTTGGCAGTACACAAACATTATGAGAACTGTACATCGTTGAGCCTCCCCCCCCCCCCCGCCCTCTGTGGGGGGTGAGGTTGCTACCAGTA